AGCGAAAACACTTATTATATCGTTGATCTAGGCAAACTATTCATTATAGGAGTAATTGTCTAGAATAACAGAAACCATACTCTAACCCCATCACTATTCTCCAATTGTAGGGTATGAGTCATTGGGTGTAGGACACCGACTATTGATCTTTAATGCACTATTACGAAATTTCGCTGAATCACATAAATTCAGTGTTTCTCTTGCTCTCTGTAATGGATTACAAGTAAAAGCATGCTCAATTATGCATACAGACGTTGATATATTGAAGAATACGTTCAAAATTTTGGAAAAGTAAATGCTAGTTTATAAAAAATGCTTCCAAAAAGTCAAATACAGTGGCCGTTTGAAACTATCCGTTTTCGGCTGTATTTTTTTCGCAATTTTTTAAAGAATATTCAGCATATAAACGGCTTGTCCACGCGCAGCGGCGTTACATTTTTAACACAGTTTTTGACAGTTTTCTCTGAAACTAAAAACGATAGAAACCCCGTTCGAACGTCAATCGACTCAGCTCACAATGCTCTGTCTGAGAGAAAAGTAAAGAAATATGTTCTTTGTTATCTAGTGACTGAAAAAATTCGACCAATCACAAGAAAGCATGCAATATGCCGCTATAGTCGAATTGTTACGTTTCATTTAAAATTTCTCTATGGTGCGTCCGCAGATGGAAAAAAATATGCTTCTTTCGTGTACTTTTTACGGTTTTTTGTGACACAGCTTCATTGGATGAAAGTTTCAAAATTAAATAAAGTCACTAGTTATAATATATAACAACAGCCAAAACGATATCGAAAATAGAAGCGACTACCTCTATTTCGATTGACTGATACAGCCGGCCTATCATGGATAGTTTTCCATTCTGTTCAACATCTTTATTTTATTTTCATTTTTATTTACTCCTTCAGTGTATCGTTTAATCTGAATATCATTGCGTCGTGAGTTGAGTGAAATCTGATTGATAACAATGACCTAAAGCGTGAAAAATGGTTATTTTTACTCAGTGAAGTTTTATAAGTCAGTTTTAATGGGAGTAGTTTGTGCTCTTCTTACTTACAGAAGTAGTTTTGATCTACGCTTGACAGGCTTAATCAGCTATCACTGTTTTCAAAAAAGGAGAACGCTTATAACGTTTTAATGAAAAGCGATAAAGACCTGCGGTTTTCAGCATTCGAAAGAGCAAGCAGTGACAGATAAACCTACGGGAGAAGAAAAGTTTTCCAACATGTTTTTCTAGCAAAATATAGTAAAGCAAAGATGGGAAAACACGGATTTTTCAAAAAAAAAATTTTATTGATAGTTTTTTGCATAAGTAGGTAGTCGGTCGATCACTCTACACAATAGGAACCAAGTCAGATCTCCATCTCTTATCGTTCGGACAGCGCTCGCTTTTCCCAAGGACTCTCTCCTCCTGCTCACGTCCCGAAATCTCAAAAACACCTGAAGTATAGGTTGTGGATCACGCTGACCGTCGTGGGAATGGTTGTTTTCAAAACAGAAGCCAAAAGAATATTAGAAAGTGAAATTTTGTGAAAAATCGGTTTTATGCACTCGTATATTCACAAATCTTTCAACTCGGTCATTTCTGGTTCTGAAGAGCTCAAATTTTCAGGAAATGTCCAGAACAAGTCACAAATTATGAATCGAGTCGAAAAAATTGCTTCAGAAACACGGACGGAAGGAAGATTTTCCAGAACTCTTCTGAAAAATCTCGATCGAAGATCATGGTTTTAGTCTATTTTATATATTTACTTTTTGAAAATATTTTTGTCTTAATCACTATTTTTTTTTGGAAATCACAAAAAGAAATGAAGCAAACTGTCGCTAATGCGTTGCTTATTCGGCTTTTGTTTATTATTTTTATCTGCGGAGGAAAGTAAGAATATAAGTATGTTAGCGTCTGCCAGTCACTAAACTAGCTAGTTCATCATCATTTTCCCTTCATTCTTCCCCATTTTCGTTCTTTTTTTTTTTTTCTACTTTCTTTTTCCTTTCCCTGTATGTGTACACACAGAGAGATAAGTAGAAGGAAAAAGTTAGAGACGTATAAGAGAAAAAACCCACATATTTTATAACAGTCAGTCAATCAGTTTAGTTCAGTCGGTTCGTTGCGTAGATCGAAGTAGAACTGTACGTCTCTTTCATTGTTTACATTTTTTTATTATTATAAAATAAATTATTTAAAACTACAGATTTGACTTCCACTACATATCAGTCAAATCTATATGTCTTCTTAGGCTGAAAGATTAGTGTTCAGTATTTTTATTCAACAGTTTGATCATTTACTTAAAACCAACTTGATATTTTTTCTAGAAATAATGTCGCAACAACAACCTTCTGTTAATGCTGTTACTGATCCACCGCTTTATCCTCCTGCTGTTGTTCAACCATCAGCGTCATCTTCGGCACCAAGCACTTCAGGTACTACAGCCACTCATCCAAGTTTAGGTCGTGGACGAGGCCATTCAACTGTTCAGAATATGCCCCCTCCAGAACCCAATTTGGCTACAAAAACAGGTAAAACAAATTTGAGTTTTAAAGTGACTGGCTGAAATCTTTTCAGCGAAGTAACTTGGCCACACGTGAGCAACAACGTGGATAGGTCATATACTTCAGCATACGTTCTATCTTTTTGCTATGGGAAGTATTGTTCCAGCTATGACAGTTTCTCAAAAAAACCATTTCGAAAACTTAGTTCGCAAATTTTGAGAAATCAACTCGTGCTGTACACAGCAGAATCAATATCGTTTGAAATAACCCCTTCTTCTAAAACTAGACACTTCAAGCTATCGATTCGTAAAAAAGTTTCTTGTAAAATCTATCGTGAACTGTACAATAATTTTGCTTGCCTATTACACATGTACTGTTAGCGTAAATTAGCGTAAACAATTCTGGAAGCAGGTATGGGTTTTCCAGAACTTGGTTCCACACTGGTTTTCTCGGTAGTTTTCTCGATCCAGAAATACTTCGAATCGATAAAGTATCATAGTCGAAATCAGCGTGAGACAACTGCGTCGACGCATGCATAATAAGTGAGGTTTTGAGCGAAAAATCCTATAATTTATTGAAATCCTGTATCCGAAGGCCTTGATGCTGAAATTATCAGCGGAATGAACGGCTTAATAATACACTTTTACTTTTCATCTTCTCTTTGGTTTCTCCTATAAGGTCTCACAATTCAAGTTCCACAGGATTCTATTGTTTATTCTGTTGGTGAATCACAGAAACAAGATTTAGCAGGTCAAAATCTGGATTTGAATTTGAATCCAGTTCCAGTTGATAAGTCTGAAGAGCGTAAGAAATGGAAAGATCGTATTGCAGATGGTGCCATTGGAGTGACAAACAAACAAGTTCAATCAGGAATGGCAAGATTATTTGCAATGAAGAGAATATATGAATTAATGAATAGTGAACGTGAAGCGGCAGAGCAGGTTAGTAAAGACAAATCATTTCGCTGCTCTAAGTTAATTGTTTTTCTTTTTCGGATGACCTTCCTTTAGTCGCCGTCTACAGAATTATACCAACTCTGTGTTCAATGTGAAAAAGACAATAAAACAACAAAAGTAAAGTCGAGAGGTGTTAATGCAAATCAAGGATTGTGTCTAAAGCATTATGAATTGCAGACAAAATCGTGTCCAAGCCGACCAATTGCTGGACAAAACGTTAAAACACAAGATATTGAAAAAAGAAAAGAACGTAAGTAAATAGAGTTTTACTTTTTTTTTCTGCTGGCCATCATTCCCTTGACTGTAAGTCATGAATCGTATTTCAGAAAATTTGTGTGTGTTTGTGCACACTTTTCTTGCACTTCTGTAACGACGCCATCTTTTTTTCGTTCTTTTCTAAACTATATATTCTCTTCTGTACTAAAACCAAGGCTTTAGCTACAGGTGGAGAGTAGAGTCCGACTAGATCAACTTTTTTTAGATCCCGCTCCCGTGAATTTTTTTATTTTAGTACCGTTCTCTGTTGGTTCCAAAAATTTTTTCCTACTAAAAATTAACGCAGCACGTCTTATTACATAGAGGCGGTAGTAAAAAATGTCTTCTTATTGCCAAGAATACAATCCAAGATCATCGCACATAGTTAAGATCTAAAAAATTGTAGTTCTGTCCAAAAACTTGCAGATGGAAAAAATTTTCAGTATTTCTTGTAGTTATAGCTCAGGTCAAAAGCCAGATGGAAAAAATTTTCAGTATTTCTTGTAGTTACAGCTCAGGTCAAAAGCTGTAATCCCAAGCTATCATAACTTTTCAGTTAGGTTTGCTTCAAAAGTCTAGGAATGGCAAAAAACTAGTTACGTACTACGGTTTTTTTCTCGAAATTGACATAAAAAGTGTTTCCCTAAGGATAAGGCTTCTGACTACTATCGGCGCCAAAATACTATGCGAGTGCTTATTTCTTTAATAACTTTTGATAAGAATGTGACAGAGACCTGTGATTTTCAGTTTTGAAAACTAGACACCTGACCACATATTTCTGTAATCGAAAGTCAATTTTGGAAACATTCTGAAGTTGGATCTTTGGAAAGATAGCTTGGGTTTTCCGAAATTCACATAGGAATGCACTGATTTTTTCTAATGTGCTGATAGCCCAGGGTGTTCTCTTCAAAATCAGAGCAATGTGCGACCTACCTTGATTTTCTGCGATTCGGGCGTAGTATCAGATTTTCGATGAGTCTCAGGACTGGTACCCGGTGGCTACTGATAGCTATAAAGCCGGATAGACTATGGATAATCCACCATGCTGAGTCTCCTGGCAATATTTCTTTTTAGAAAAGTTTTTAAAAATCTACCGAAAAGCCAATTTTACGAAAATTACGGTATTCAGGCTGTTTTCATCTAATATTAAAAACTATATTCACTCAGAAAACATCAGAACAAACTCAAAATGTTAGGATATGATCGTTGTTATCCCCGAAACGTGATTATAAGATCGAAGAAATCGAAAAGGCTATTTTTTGTTAATAGGTTTTCGAAAAGCCCTTTTGGAAAGGCTTAGGACTTTTTAAGATTTCTTTCGAGATTTAGAATAGCTTAAGTACTCTAAATTCTGAGATTTTGAGTTTGTTCTGATGCTTTCTGAGTGAATATAGTTTTTAATATTAGATGAAAACAGCCTGAATACCGTAATTTTCGTAAAACTGGCTTTTCGGTAGATTTTTAAAAACTTTTCTAAAAGGAAATACTGCCAGGAGACTCAGCATGGTCGATTATCCATAGTCCATCCGGCTTTATAGTTACCAACAGTCACCAGGTACCAGTCCTGGAACTCATCGAAAATCTGATACTACGCCCGAATCACAGAAAATCAAGGTCGCGCTATGCTCCGATTTTGAAGAGAACACCCTGGGCTATCAGCACATTAGAAAAAATCAGTGCATTCCTATGTGAATTTCGGAAAACCCAAGCTACCTTTCCAAAGATCCAACTTCAGAACGTTCCAAAATTGACTTTCGATTACAAAAATATGTGGTCAGGTGTCTAGTTTTCAAAACTGAAAATCGCAGGTCTCTGTCACATTCTTATCAAAAGTTATTAAAGAAATAAGTACCCGCATTGTATTTTGGCGCCGATAGTAGTCAGGTCCAACAGCTCTGAACCGACCGGATTTTCAGCGGTTTTTCACTGGTTCAAAAAAATATTCTGAACCGCCTTGTTTTTGACCGTTTGAAACATTCTTTTTAACCGGCCGGGTCGGTTGGGTGGAAAAACTTCCAAACGATTCCAACTGTGGATCAAGCAGGAGGAACTACTTCAGCACTTTTGAAACAATGCCAGAGTAACTAAAAGTAACGTACCATCCCAATTCATATTCGAAAACAAAAGTGTTTTCGACAGAGAAAACGTCACCACTTTTTTGCTAACTTAATCGAAGAAAATACGATTTTACCCTGCAGAGCAGGAGAGATTTTTTTTCCCTGCACTCCTGCTCTGCAGGAGTGTAGGGTAATGCAGGTGCTGGTCGCAGAGCAGGGTAGGGCCAAAACATTGATCCTGCGAACACCTGACACACGTACTGTCAAGTACAATCTTGGTTTTGCTTTATAATTTTCGTTCTTTTTTCTCTCGTTTGTTCTTCTAGCATTTATAATAATGGACGATTTAAGCAGACGGTGTCAATTTATGATGATGTTAGGTCGTCAACGTTTGTTTCTTTTGAGAGATTCAAATTCTAAACAACGACGCGATTTACTTTCGGAAAAAAATTTTGAAAAAATTGACCAACATATTGTGAACAATGCTGGAACTCTCCTCATTATTGGCTATGATGGTGAAACTATGATAAATGCTTTCTTTCCTGCTGGCAAACAAGCTTTCGATTGCTGTCAGGAGTATCATACAGCTAAATTTGAAATGAATATTGATCAAACATTATCATTATTAGATGCAACTGATGAAGCGATAAGACAACAGCAGTTAATTATTATACAGAAAAATATGAGTACTGAAGAAGCGATGAAGACCTTCAAAAAGTGATCTTTGTTTGTTGGTTTTAATTCGTTTTTTTGCTAAATTGTGAGTTCTTAGAGAGAAAAATAAAACGCTAGAGTTGTCAGAACAAGAAGGTAACCGTTGAACGGAAAAGGAGTGTGTTTGAGAACAATGGAGAAGGAGGTTCAACTTGAAAATTACATTGCCCTTTACGAAAAGGACAGACCTGACATACCGCTCACTACACACAGACTCGAAATTCAAAGTGTTTTAAATACAAAATCTCAAGCTGAAATCTCTCTGACAAAAGCATAGAATCGTTGAACGGCGTGTCGAAATTCCATTTTTGCGTCTTCCGAACTATATAACGCACGTAGCACAAAATCAAACACCTGGAAATTTTCATCGCAGATATAAGTCGATGGGCTACGCTACCAAAAAAATTTTCTGAAGTTTTTTGTATGAGCCGGTCCGGAGTTATTTACAAAATATGGTTCATGATAGAAATGTCAAAAATGGAAATTTTCTTTTAAACGCCTCCGAACTTTTGCATTTTTCTCAAAAGCGAAGAGTCACAGTAATTACCATTGTAGGTCAGAGGTGCACAGTTTTCAACAGGCTTTCAGAATCTCTACTTAGTTTTTAAAATATATCCTCCGATGGAATAAAAATTTCCAAATATCCGTCGTGACAGAATTGTTTTCGTGACCGAATTTCATCATTACATCAATGATGGAGGTTAAATTGGTTGGTCAAGTTGCTCAGAAGTCTATAGTACCAGGCGAGCTCTTTCGAACTTTTTTGCGAAAATCTCTCTGTTAGGAAATTGAAAATAAGTTTTATTATGACGTTATTACCGGTGTTATTCTGGAAAAAAGCGCGACATGCGTGGTGGTACAATCGTCTAGACAAAGATTAAAGTGAAAGATCTGGAGCCGCTGGTAGCGAAAAAATATAAATAAGTTGGCTGTCGTATGGTCGCAGAAACAAACATGCAGAGAAACATGTGATTTATAGAGAATTTTTCAGTCTTTCGATTCCGGCCAGTTTTCGACTCGAGACCATGCCGATAACCGACCGGTAGAAAAAGTTTTCTTAACGGTCGGTGAACAGAAAATGTTCTACGGGTGGAAAATCGGCGTCAACCGACCGGTTGAAAAAGTTCAACCGTTCCGTGTCTTACCACTCTTCAATTCGAATAGGTAATGGCCCTATTCTTCTGAACCACTGAGTTCATTTAGATTCATTTTTATGAATGAAAATGACATCGTTTTCTTCCTTTTCGCTGTTGAAATATGCACGTGTGAACTCCTTTTCCTTATAAAAAACCCCATCACAAATCTTCAGAGGGAGAGATTCCAATTCTCTCTATTATCTCTTGTAGGCGTGGGACAGTTCCCGTTCCTAGTAACTGTAACTGGTCACCAGTTCTTTTAACCAGTTACTAGAAACGATGCAAACTGGAACTGTCCCACGCCTAACCTCTTGTGATCCTTGAAGATTTGTGATGGAGTTTTTTATAAGAAAAAGGAGTTCACATGTGAATATTTCAACAGCGAAAAGGAAGAAAACGATGTCATTTTCATTCATAAAAATGAATCTAAATGAACTCAGTGGTTCAGAAGAATAGGGCCATTACCTATTCGAATTGAAGAGTGGTAAGACACAGAATGGTCGAACATTTTCAACCGGTCGGTTGACACCGATTTTTCACCCGTAGAGCATTTTCTGTTATGTCGGTCATCGTACCGACATGTATATGCGCAATTGTCTTTCTGTCTTCTTCCTCTCACCTGTGCAGATATAGTCGTGCGTGTGTGTGTATGTTCATTCCTGAGTTTGAGTGAAAAATAAAATATACTCTAGGTTAACGTTTCCACTCTCAAAGAGGATCTCCTCTAACTAGATCAAATTTGATATTTTATCCTGAAATGGTAGTTGGAGTTTTTGTGTGATTGTGATATGGATCATGAGAAAACGTCGATTGTCAAAGGCTATTGGATTGTGATATTGATATCAAAATATTAAATGGACAAACTTTTTTGGTCGATGCGATCGATAGTGGACACTGTGTATAATGTACATGAAGAGAACTCAGTCGCCGTGAAAATTGTATTGTTTCGTGCAAAAATGAGTGAAATTTTGTCACACTGGCTTTTTTGTGCAAGACGATTGTTGATGGGCTTTGAAATATATTTCGAGAAAAGTGCCGTCTCTCTGGCCCGCACCACAGGCCATGAGAGACAATTCGATATGCCTACTGGTCGTATTACAAAGAGGTACAGACGTGTGAATGGAATCCAGTTAACTGTCCCAGATCGTGATAGACATTTGGAAATGCGGACTCTTCAGCACCATCACAGACGGTGCTATGTGTCGATGGTCGCTTCTACAGGTAAAGCGGCTTCGTTATAGTCACATTTTGATGCCGAAGGCCCTGCGCTGATAGCTTCCCGTGAAAAATTAACAAACTATGTATCATTCGATACGGTTTTTTTCGCTGATTTAGCATAGAATTCCCTGACTGACAGCCTACCTAACCAGTTACAAAGACCGAAAAGGCGTGTCAACGGATAAAAGCGAAAAACTGATCGTTTTTCTCTCATAATAAGGAACCGTGATTGTGAGGGAAAAACTACCACTTTTTGCGTTTTGTACGTTTTACACGCTTTTGCGGTGGTTTTTTTTGACTGTCTGGATAGGACCTAGAATCGGGAATCAATTCAGTTGTGTCTTTCTATCTGAAACACGCTTTTACAACAACAATCTGCCTTGTGTTATCTAAGTTTTTAAATAACTTTCTTAAATTTAGATCGGTATGATACGAAAATCACATTTGATTGTGACATGTATGTTAGCTTTTTTTACGTCGTCGTTTTATAATGATGGAAAACTGCCAAACCGGACAGGATATTATTGTACTAGTGTAAATCCATGGAATTTCGACAACTTTTTGAAAAAAAGTTCGAATCTATGGGATTTCCAGAAATCAATACCTTTCTGGATTTTTCTCTTGCAGTTAGACGTGACATGGGTAACAATGACTTGTGATCATGAGAAAAAATTAGCTAGCGCGTAATGTATAAAGATCTAGCTGATTCTTTAGGAACATATTGGCTTATACACATTTGTTCTGAATAATCTTAAGAATCAACTCGATGTTAATCGATCAAGTTGGTGCAGGGTTAGATGAATTGTGTCAATTTCTGCTGCAGTGTTCACTAGGAACCTTTCGTCGGCGGCCCGATTGTCCATGTGTACAAGCACAGTGCAAACAACTTATATTTAAAACCTGTCCACCATTGATTATTTATCCTGACCGGCTTATATTTCAACCATTTATTTTCAGAGTCTACCTACGTAATCGTGATTGGCTTACAAACATTCCAGATTACTCTTATTTCAATGGTTCAGTTAAATGTTATGGTTATCAAGTGTCTTCTTCAGATGTTAGGTATGCATTAACTGCAATAGATAAATTAGTGCTACTGTTATCCAATCCTCTTCACAGTGAATTACTTTTTTGTCGACAGAAAGAAAATATGACTAACTAGAAATAATCCGTGGAAAACCACGGACGCCCAGCGTTTCATTCATTTTTTCATTCATTTTTCGATAACTGATTTATTAACTAATAATAATTAATAACTCATAACTCATTTCTGATATCGGATTCGGATTTCCCACCCTTGGTTACCCTCTAGTCAATCAAGTTTTAGAGTCGTTTGTGTTTTGGGTTTTACCCAATACATTGGCGCTGTTTAGTGTCTTGGGAGCGTTCCGGACAGAAGGACAGCTATGTCTGGGCTAGTCTTATGTATATTATCCAATTTATTATACACACCAAAATTACTCTATTGATGCATTGAAATACGATCGATTTTGTTGGAATAGTTCTAAAACTTTTAATAATCAATCGTATCAAGTTACTGCTCTATCATTATGTCCATATCAGTGCCTATCAAAACATCCTTTACGATGGATCAGTTGATTGTTTTTCGAGGTGTAACCTACTGGGTAGCCTATGTGATGAACAAAAGTCAATTAATGGATCATGTTTATCACAAAAAAAATATCGTTTTCAATGTTCAACAAAGGAGTCAACTTGTCTAATGGTCAATAGTGTTGGCAATTCTGTTTCTGATTGTACTAATGGACTAAATGAGTATACAAGTGGCGAAGATTCATTATTAAGTAATATGAATTGTTATAAACGATTTGATTTTAGTTGTAGGAGACTTAAAAATTATATTGAAATGTTTTCTTTAACCGAAACGTCCAACTACACTAACATTTCTACCACTGCAAATTATGTGAATATTAATCAAATGGCGTTTGATTTCTATTATGATACATTTTTCGATTCAGACAGAAAAGGTGATGAAATGAATGAGCTTTGTCAAGACAGGCTCTGTGATAAAGATCATTTTCAATGTCCAACGGGACAGTGTATTCAATTCAAATGGGTTTGTGATGGTAAGCTTTTGCCTTGATTTTCTTTCCAATCTGTGAAATAACTGTTTTTTGTTTGTATAGGCGTTTGGGATTGTAAAGATGCTGCCGATGAATAAAAAGTATTTCTGTACAATGACATGGATTGGCCTTATCTACATATTAATCTAACTACAGTGAACGCCACGTGTTCTCAAATCTATCGCCGTGGCAATCAACCATTTTCTGATATTTGTAATATAGGAACTCAATATCCATGCCTGCTGGCCAATGTCTCAAATGCACTCAACTTTGATTTGTATCCTCCTTGTATTAATTTAACGCAAATTGGTGATGGACGAATTGACTGTATTGGTCGCCAAGATGAAACCGTTCTTCAAAACTGTCGATCGCCGGATGTAGAGATTGGTTTCTATTGTGGGAATAGTGCAAATAATTACTGTGTTAGTCCAGAACGCTTATGTGAAGAGAATATTAAATGTAACAATAGCGACCTGGATAAAATATGCTACTATAGAAAACTAAAGTACACAAGCAAATGTTTAGAAGGACACCGTTATAATGGTGATTGTCTAGAATATGCTCGTTGTTATGGTGAAAGAGAATGGCCGACAGAATGCCTACATTTAGAAGTCGATTATTGGTGTGGTGATTTTCCACAGCAGCCGACGGATTACCGACAATGAAAAGTGCAAAAAAGAGTGGTAAAGTCATCTACTCCTGAGTATACGATTACTGCTGAAAGGTCAAACAAAAGAAAAGAAGTTCATCCATTCCACGCAAATGTCAGTGATGAACAAGGGGTTGTTATTGTTGAACAACAAACCACTGTCGATCTTCGACGTATCTCATTCGTTTGCCAGCGTGGAATCGCAATCAAAAAAAGTTCACAAATAACTTGTTTCTGTCCTCCGTCATTCTATGGATTGTGAATATTCAAGTAATCGTTTGACAGTTATAACGCATTTAAATCTAGCCAGCACTGAGTATTCAGAAACACAGAATATTATTATTAAAGTTCTAGCGACATTCTGGTTTGAAAATCGCCTTTTAGATTATCACATCTTTCACCATGTTTCACAGATTGAAATGCAAGACAATTCTGTTAAACAGAAATTTTACTTCCTTTATCCTCGAACTTTTGAATTCCTGGAACAAAAACGATTAAACCGAAATGGAACACAACTGAATATCGTTCAATTCGAAGCATATCTATTACGCTCTGGCTCATCAGTTAAATTTACTGAAGTATGGAAATATCCGATTTATTTCGATTTTCTACCATCATCTCGTTTGGCCAAAGTTCTGCGCTTCTCAAATCAGCCGGTGAAGTGTCATGTCAGTCCTTGTGGTTCTTACGATACAATACAAAATGCTAACGAAAGTGTTTTTTGTCACTGTCATACTGGTTATTTTGGTCAGTATTGTGAATCCTACAACAATCAATCAAGTGTTTGCTCGTCAAATTCTTTAGTTCGTCCTTTTCAACGTACAGCGAAACCTGTATGCTTGTGTCCACACAATCACTATGGTTCAACTTGTCACATTTTTGTCGATCCCTGCTTAAAAACGAAGCATTAGTTAGTGCTGTTTTACATTGTAATTTAACTGAAGAATTTAATGGAGTGGAAATTCTACGACAAGAAGTTACAGTGGCTAGCCACGTCTGTTGGAGTTTCGAGATAATCAAAATAGTTTACCATCGTTTAGTCTTTTGAAATCGTATGATAAAAACTTTCTATCTGACACGATACAAGAGTCAGCTTATCATTTACTATATAGTCACAATAATAACATCTCTTTTGTTAATGTTACCATTGGGTTAACACATAAAAATCATTGTCCACATATAAAAACATTATTGAGTGCAGTATTTCAGGGTAAGTTTGATTTCAAAATTACATTTGTCTGCAACTTTTCCCGATTCCTTTGTTTGTAGAGCGTCCATTGTACAGTATTCGATATAACATCACTAATTTTATTTATAAATATCATTTCTGATAAATTTTCTATGTGGCTTAAGGAAATAAAAATGCAATGTTTTCGTGACGACCACCTTATTTTGTTTTTGTTATCCAAATGCGCGAGCACAAGCACGATGTTTAAGATTTGATTCGAATTCAAACTTTTGCGATAGATGCTTAGCCAATGGTCATTGTGTACAAGATGATTTAAGCAACAGAAGTGATTTCCGATGCGTATGTCCTCCATGTCACCATGGAAGATTGTGTCAATTCTCGAACGAACTTCTGAATTTTACGAATCAGTAGAAGTTAAGGTACGACGAAGACGCGCACCTTGGGCTCTCATCTTTGGAGCCATCTCTATGTTCACAAGTATATTTACCTCCATAAAAGGTACATATATAACATACGAAATACGTAAACTGGTGGGTGACGTTCAAAAAGCTCCAGAGGTTTTAGTGCAACAACCATCCAAGATGAATGTGCAAAGCGCCGTACTCTGTGAACTGATACTCTATGACATGGCGTATTTTTGACAGTGTGTGGCGGGAGGTGTGGAGGCGAACAGTATGGTAGTGAATTCGAAAAGTAGTTTGACCCAAAACACATTTTCATGATGTCGTATGAATTTGGATGAGCTCTTCAAGTGCTTATGTGATATGAAATTAGTTCAAGATGAAGTTATGTGAAAATTGTAATAACGACCCAATTTACCAGTAACACCAGATGTTTCGCTATTTTCTAAAGTTTAGTTTCTTTAAAAACTCTTTTCGAAAAATTTGTGGCAGACTGGTGGGGGGACCTGTCGTCGTGGTAATGTCCGTGTATCAAAAGTTTACTTTCTTGACTAATCAATCTTCAAAAACTGTTTCTCAAGCTATAAGAACGCAAGAACCAACAGTAACACGTGAAAATAAACGTGGATATGATCAACTGTCACTATCACTACAAATTAATCGAAAAAAGCGGGGATCGATTTCGTATAGAAACAACCCTCTCTACCTTTCTCTTCATCTTGATACTCTGTCATAATTTTGGATGAATCTTGACTGGTTTATGAACTTTTAAATTTTATTCAAAAATAGGCAAAAATGGATTACTTCACCTAATATACGTTTTCACTAGGTTTCTGGAACTGTTCTGAAAAACAAATGTTGCCAGAAGATTCACCGTAGTCGACTACCTATGTTTCCATTCGTTTTTGAGATTACCACATCTAAAGAAATATTGATCCTGAGGCGTCGAGAAATCCGATTTTTAAACACCGACATTTCCTACACTCCATCTCCTGTTAAACTGTCGCTCCTTGCTATCTATTCACTCCTTCATTCCTGCATCTCACGAAAATTCAAAAAACTTTAAGGATCTCTTTTTTCGAAAAATACTAATTTTTATTAAAAACTGAATAACTTGTTTCCACCTCATTTCGAAGCCGTGAAACTATGTTTTTCTTATTCAGCGTTGAAAATTGCATCTAGAAAACTATATTTCAAAGTTCCACACCAAGAAATATTTTGTGGGCGCGAAAAGGGACCAGTATATCTCCAGTTTCGAGCCCCTCATCTTGCAAACCTATCGTAGCTTTTTAGTTAACACATGAAGCCAAGTTTTATATCCTATTTGATTGGCCTTGGAACGTAGAATAAAAGTATGAATCGCTTTTTTTGGAATTCTTTTTCCAACTGACTCAACCGGTCCGGTTACAACTCTGGAAGTACTCATAGTTATGCTCATTTCTAGATTCCGATAATTAGCACAAGACTCTGAGAAATGAGGTATCAACATAAACTTAAATTCGCCATCCCCACATGAAAAAGTGAGAGGACGTTGACTTGTACGCTCCTCACATTGAAATATTGGAGTGTTTACGCATTTAATTTAGATATGATCATTTTTATCATATGTAACCGTCTCAGCAGTACCATCAAGGCAATCTCTGCTAGCTTTTCCATCGCCAACGAACGTCGATGGAATGCATTCTCCGCTATAGTGACATCGAAATTCAGTGTCAGAATATTCGCTTATTTCCAATAGTTTGAATATATCAATAGTTGACACAACTGTTCATCTTCTCCATTGATACAATCAAAATTACTGTCACTGATTTCACGCCAATCGAGACACATTGGCGATAGACCACGATCATAGCCAATTAAACTGGATAACACGTACCGATAGTAAAATTTTCCTTCAATGGGGCTATCACACGCCTAGCGAAAATGGATTGAACGATATCACCAAATGAAGGTAATATGTCATACTTAAATTTGCATTGACATATACGACCAAACCAAGGATATGAACAGTTATAAAAAACTTCATTGGAACGTCCACCATCTTTTTCATATCGATCGGTGTTGACCAGCTAAGTAGCTGTGCACTTGTCACACTCTGTTAAAACACGTGATTTTCAGGCCCTTTTATGCGCTGGTGGTAGTTTCTGTTCTTGGAGAGAACGAACATATGCACTTCTCTTATAAATGTTAGTCGTGGTGGCTGTCTCGTGATCGGTTTACAATGACGTAAAGTCGCTTGAATAGTGCGTTTTTGACAAACATACAAGGAAAAGATAGACGCTATTGATTTGAACAGCATCTGTTCAATATTCGCGTCGAAGAATGAACAGAGTAAACTGAGTTTTGCTGCTTTTAATTATTTCTGTGTCCTACTGATTTATTTTGCTGTTTCCGAAGTTAAACAAGAAGATTTATATTCGGTCTGATCCTTCGATAAAAGCTTTCCGTGTAATCCTTACGGGATCAAAATGTGAAACGTGATGGAGCTGCTTTAATCGTATATGAAGACTCTACAAACCATGATAAAAACAAAGGAGCAGCATGTCGATATGTCTGGCACGGTCTCTGACAGGGGTCACAAGGCCACATTGTAAGGCGGAAAACAAATGTTTTGGACAAATCCATTTCAAATCCATCTATAATGCAAAATACCGAGGTCTAAACATCTAGAATACCATGCTGACATGTTGCTCATGGTCTGTGGCGGACTCCCTAGTGAACGTACTTAACGCAAGTACTTGATTACTTGCTAAGTACTTGGGAAAATTGGCAAGTGGTTTCAAAATTTCTCACTTGCCATGTACTTTCAAAAGTACTTCTCAATGATAAAAATACTTGCTTTTATTGCTAAGAAGTACTTTGTGAAAGTCCTTGGCAAGTAAGGGCTTTTTTATCAGCTTAAACCGAAAAAAGCGTATTTAAAAACCAAAAGGGTTTTTCTATTTGACCAAAACACTAAAAACTTTTTAGAAAGAGTCGAAGGGTTTTCTAGCTTTGGTGAAAACCGGAAAGGTTTTTCCTAAACGCATTTGATATAGAGACACATCGTTTTCGGTTTTTCAAGTAGCGAAGGATTTTTGAGTTTGAGCAAAAAATCAGAAGGTATATATATCTACAAACCCAGTGCAGATGTGCTTCTGGCGTCTGAAACCAAACGGTGAGTTCCGGTTTCTTCGTAATTCTAAGAGACAAAAGTGCATGATAAAGTTACATTTTAGGAAAATGTGACGCACGAGAAGTCAGATTCATTATCGAATATTCTTAAGATATGTGACTTCAAGTGAGAGAACTACCGGTTATTGCTATTTGTCATAGAAAAATTTGTTTTTTTACAATAGTATTTTTTATTGGAAAAATTCTTATGTCGAAGAATACCCAAACAGACAAAAGCTAGTTTTTTTTACCAAAATAGTCTCAGAAAAATGT